TGAATGCAGGGTCCGGCGACCAGATAGAGTGGATGCAGGGTCCGGGAGAGACCATATTGATAGTTACTGCAGGGTCCGGGGAGACAAGATATTAGTGAATGCAGGGTCCGGGAGAGACCAGATATAGTTACTGCAGGGTCCTGGAAGACTAGATATAGTGAATGCAGAGTCCGGGAGAGCAGATATAGTGAATGCAGGGTCCGGGGAGACCAGATATATTGAATGCTGGCGTCCTGGGAGACCAGATATAGTGGATGCAGGGTCCGGGGATAACCAGATATAGTGAATGCGGGGTCCTGGGAGAACCAGATATAGTGGATGCAGGGTCCTGGGAGACCAGATATAGTGGATGCAGGGTCCTGGGAGACCGGATATAGTGAATGCAGGGTCCTGGGAGACCAGATATAGTGAATGTGGGGTCCTGGTAGACTAGATATAGTGAATGCAGGGTCCTGGGAGACCAGATATTGTGGATGCAGGGTCCTGGGAGACCGGATATAGTGAATGCAGGGTCCCTGGGAGACCAGATATAGTGAATGTGGGGTCCTGGTAGACTAGATATAGTGAATGCAGGTTCCTGGGTTTAGTAACACTTTAAGCCCTGGTTCACACCGTTGCGATGCAGCACATCGCATGTAATTTGCATTCTTGTGCAAATACCATGTGATTTCTGTGCTGTGCACTTTGACCCATACGCAGCACAGCTGCACCAAAATAGTGCAGGACCCTTTTATTGGTCCACACCAGAATCGGATCGCATGGGTATTCACACCCGTGCGATCGATTCTGTATATCGCACTGCAGTTTGCAAATCAATTTCGGGGTGTTGTTAACATACACACCTGCAGCGGCTCGCATAAACGGGGTGTGATTATGATGCGGTGCAGAAATCGCACATAAAATGTTGCAAATTCCGCACCGCATCAGTGCGAAACCAGGGCTGACAAAAAAAAAAAGGCTAGTGTGCATGGAGCCTTCAATCCTATGGGGAAGCATTTGCAAAGCTCCCTCTAGTGGAAAATTTTCAGAATTCTATTCCTTCTTTTTTTTAATTCTTCAATAGCAAACATGTAGAAGTGCAAACATGTCAAAATGTGAAAATTACACACAGATTGTGTGACACTGAAAAAATATAAGGAATTGGGCTTTATGTGCTGGTGCTGATGGGACATGTTAAGGGTTATAGCAAACACTGCAGTAAAATGCAAAGTCCTCTTGTTAGATCTCGGCCCCCTTCCCATGTACAAATCTCTGCATAACAGAAGTTGAACAATGTATCTGTAAGAATAAAAGGTTGATCATATATTTATGTGACCCTGGTTTTCTGCATTAGTGGGTGTGATGTCACTGTCCATCTGATGAAATTCCTGGTAAATATTTAATACCCATCTTGAGAGAAGACATTTCAGTCCAGTGCGAGAATGTCTTCTTGCAAGATTTAGGATCCTCATCATTCCTAGGATCTCACTAGAAGGAGCATTAACCTCCCTGGCGGTATGATTATTTCAGATTTTTGGTGCTGAAAGCGGTACCATTATTATTTTGCATGGAAATATGTATTTTTTTTATTGTAGGCTGTAATTTTTAGGAATAACTCACTGAAATCTGTCCGAACAAGAGTCTAATAAACATCCCGGGTATGATAAAATTTTAAAAACAAAATCATAAATTATAATTTAATAAATAATCATAAAAAAAATAATAATATAATAATAATACATTTAATTCAATAATATAATCAAACCGAAAACACTGAAATTTGAAATATAGCGCCAAGTTTGCACATCACTGAGCAAAGTCGCAAAATTGTTTTCAGTGTCTGATGACGAATTTCTCCACGAATCATTATCACTCAATTCTGCAAGTGGTTCTGATTTACTATCGCTGTTCTCTAGCCGGTCTAAAACCGCTTTTGACCTAAAGGGGCGCTTTTTGGACGCCATGGACTTTTCTAAGTTTCCAGGCAGAAAGAACAGTCAAAATGCAGACAGGGGACAGGACAAAGCACTAGGGACAAAATGTATGTGAAATGGTTTGAAACAGCAATGTTTTACTATGTAAAATTTGTTTTGAAAAAAAATGACGTTTTTTAAATTTTCAAATTTCCCGCCGCCGCCCGTACGTCCCGACGTCACAGGGACCGGAACACAGAAGCCAGATGCCGGCATCAGCCGGAGGAGATGGCCAGGGACGCTGTAGGGGACACATCGCGGGAGCGAAGGACAAGGTAAGTGCTCGAGGGACTCCCTATGCATCGCCGCATGGTAAGCCTGAGTGTAGCTCGGGGTTACCACTTTTGGTACAGAAACTTTACCCCGAGCTACACTCGGGAATACCGCCAGGGAGGTTAAGCAACCTAAGCCTCGGTTCACACATATGTGGTGCGGGAAATGCTGAGATCCCTGTACATTTCCCGCACCGCATTGCAATCGCACTGTGTTTGCGATCCGCTGTGGGTGTCAATATAGAGTTAACGACACCCCAAACGCATGGCAATCGCACTGTGGTTTATCCTCACTTGATCGCATTTTACAAAACGACCATGCAATGTGGAGGCAGTTGAGGTGCAGCTCCAAAAAGGATGCCTGCACTTCTTTGGTGCAATGTGGTGCGATTTTGAGCTCATTCAAAATGAGAATTGCACAGGAATGTGGTACGATTCTTGTGCGATTCACGTTCAGCTCCTAGTGTAAACGTAGGCTAAATGTTGTCATTCAGTTAGGCTGGCCATACACTATACAATTTTCTTGGGATTTTTGCTTTAGATTTACCAAAAACCATATAATATGAGGTCAAACCCAAACAACACTTTCAGTTGTATCCAATTAAGCGGGCCCTTGCACTACACATTTGAAGGTAAATCTAAAGGAAATTGGGCAGAAATTGCACAGAAAATTGTATAGTGCATGGCCAGCCTTAGACTTCACATGAACTTTAGGATCTGTTCAGGGGTGGACTGACCATTTGGGAACTCAGGCACTGCCCGAGGGCCCGGGGTCAGTAGGGGGCCCCATGATATGCCCCTGGTACCTTTCATAGGCTTTTTTTGAGTGTGGGTGAGGACACAGGGGCCCCATGATACCCTATTGCCCGGGGACCCCATGAGTTGTCAGTCCGCCCCTGGATCTGTTCCAGCCACACCCACCCGTTTGTATGAAATGGGGTGTCCACAAAGTTCATGTAGGTGTGACGGTCAGGTGTCCACAAACGTTTGGCCATATAGATTCCAAAGACATGCTGGTAGGTTAATTGGATCCTGTCTAAATTGTCCCTAGTATGTATATGTGTGAATGTGAGTTAGGGACCTTAGATTGTATGCCCCTTGAGAGTTAGGAACTGATGTGAATGTACAATATATATGTAAAGCGCTGCGTAAACTGATGGCGCTATATAAGTACCTGTAATAAATAAATAAATAATATAGTATATTGGAGGGCTCAGCACCTTCTCCACATTACGACCCTGTTCATACTTAGGCTCCATGCACACTGGCTTAAAAAAAGTGCCAGTGCTCTTAGCAGAATAAAACGCTAATTATGAGCATTTTTTTAATACTAGCGTTTAGGAGTGTTTAGGAGCATTTGGCAGCATTTAGGAGTATTTAGTGTTTTTTTCTGCCAGAAAAATGCTCACAAAAACACAAAACAGAAGGGTTTTTTCCTGTCTCTATTTTATTCTATTGTATTCTCGTCTATTCTATTCTTTTCTATTCTATTCTTTCATTTTCTCTGGAACTCTGCAGACCCTGATGTAAAGGGGAAATGTGATGTAAAGAGGAATGCTGTGGACTCTGGTGTAAAGAACTCTGATGTAAGATATCTTTGGTCACCATAGTCCCTCTGCAGCATTCCCCTTGCACTGTATGGTAATCTGATGTAAAGGGGAACTCTGAGGACTCTGAATTAAGGTGGTAAGCTTGGATATTGGGGGGGGGGGGGGGCTCTGGTCACCACAGACCACTTTCCGCTGAGTGAATACACTAAGCTAAGGGGAGTTACTGATTTAAGGCAGAATGTTTATATCAGTGTCCCCTCCTACCTTAGTGGAATAATAATTCACTCTCCCCTTACATCAGTGGTCTCCCCAACCACAGACTTTGTGTGACATCCTCCATTGCTTGCTCAGATGCAGCAGGGCAGTCAGACACAATCCAGTCCGAGCGGCTTGGCGCTGGCGACTGCTCATTACCAGCTCTGTCTGTTCTCCAGTAACACAATTCCAGCGGCCAGCAGCTCTCCTATCTCCCCCTACAGACCTGCTGTGATTAAAAAAGAGTGGCGCCCCATGATGTCACCGCATGCGGCTGGTTTCAGAAACGTGAATGCGCAGTTCTGAAGCTGACCCACAGTTCTTTTTTTTACTGCCTGTAACAGACATTTATGAACAGTTTGTAAATCGGACGATATTTAAAAACTGCCTGTAAAGTTATGGATGGTTGCCAACCCTGCACAAGAGGGTCCCCCACCCAGCCAGTCCCAGTATACCTTACGGTTGCCACCTCATCCCTTTAAACCCAAACACATATTAATGACACAGGTTCTGTGGCTGATTAAGGTGGTAATTAAACTCACTTAGTGCCTTATCTGCATTAACCGCTTCCGAGCCACCCTATAGCAGCAATACTGCTACAAGGTGGCATGGGTGCGCAAAATCACATATATACATGATTTTGCAGTTCAGGGTAGGAGCCCTACCCGTGCCACCATTCGTGGCCTGTGATTCCCCGCCAGCACCCGGCCATCTCTGAGTATTATAAACAATACAGATCTCTTCCCGTCAACTCCTGCACACTGCTTTGTATGGCTCTGCCTAGCCATACAAAGCAGTGTGTTTACACAGTAAAGCACACACACAGCATACAGTAAACCCTTTGATCACCCCTCATGTTAACCCCTTTCTGCCCAGTGCCATTAGTACAGTGTCAGTGCTTTTTATTAGCACTGATCGCTCTATTGGTGTCACTGGGGATGTCAGTAACACCAAGTCAGTTCCCCCCCCAGTGTCAGAATGCACTCCGCAGTCCCGCTATAAGTCGCTGATCGCTGCCATTACTAGTAAAAATAAAAAGGTTCCAGTATCTATACCGCCATTTGTAAACGCTATGGCTTTCACGTAAACCACCTAATTTGTACATATTGGGACTGTTTTTAGCAAAGACATGTAGCAGAATACACTTTGGCGTAATTTGATTTTTTAAATGTTTTTACTGGACATGTTTAAAGCGGAGTTCCACTCACTCTGTGAAAAAATAAAAGACAGCAGCTACAAAAACTGTAGCTGCTGACTTTTAAAAAACAGCCATTTACCTGTCCCTCGGTCCCACGTTGCCCCCGCCGCAGCCTGTTTCACCGGCTGTCCTGTATTCCAGGAGGCTGGCATCTTCAGTGTGGGCACCCGGCTGTGACAGCTTGCGGCTTCACAGCCGGGTGCCCACTGAATGGCCCCATCGTCTTCTGGGACCTGTCACGTGTCTCATGAAACTACAGGGAGGGAGGGTAGAAGGACAAGTTCCGTTTCTGATCACCTAGGCGATTGCAGCAGAAGTGGGAGCAGATACCTGTCAAATTCGGGTACCCGTTCCCCTCCCCGCTCTCCAAAGGTGCCTACCAGTGGTGGACTGACAACTCATGGGGCCCCCGGGCAATAGGGGATCATGGTGCCCCTGTTTCCTTGCCCACACTCAAAAAAGCCTATGAAAAAGGTACCAGAGGCATCTCATGGGGCCCCCTACTGACCCCGGTCCCTCGGGCAGTGCCCGAATGCTCGAATGGTCAGTCCGCCCCTGGTGCCAACCCTTAACCTCCTCGGCAGTATGATTCTTTCAGATTTTTGGTGCTGAAAGCGGTACCATTTTTTTGCATGGAAATATGTAGTTTTTTATTGCAGGCTGTAATTTTTAGGAATAACTCACTGAAATCTGTCCGAACAAGAGTCTAGTAAACATTCCGGATATGATAAAACTTGAAACACAAAATCATAAATTATAATTTAATAATCATAAAAAATAATAATATAATAATAATACATTTAATTCAATAATATAATCAAACCAAAAACACTGAAATTTGAAATACAGAGGCAAATTCGCACATCGCTGAGCAAAGTCGCAAAATCGTTTTCAGTGTCTGATGACGAATTTCCCCACAAATCATTATCACTCAATTCTGCAAGTGGTTCTGATTTACTATCGCTGTTCTAAAATCACTTTTGACGTAAAAGGACGCTTTTTGGACGCCATGGACTTTTCTAAGTTTCCAGGCAGAAAGAACAGTCAACATGCAGGCAGGGCACAGGACAAAGCAGTAGGGACAAAATATATGTGAAATGCATTGAAACAGCAATGACAGCAAAAATGACATTTTTTAAAAATTTCAAATTTCCCGCCGGATCCGGCGCGCGTACGTCCCGACGTCACAGGGACCGGAACACGGAAGCCGGATGCTGGCATCGGCCGGAGGAGATGGCCGGGGACGCTGCAGGGGACACATCGCGGGAGCGAAGGACAAGGTAAGTGCTGCAGGGACTCCCTGAGCAACGCCGCATGGTAAGCCCGAGGGTAGCTCGGGGTTACCGCTTTTGGTACTGAAATTTTACCCCGAGCTACACTCGGGAATACCGCTAAGGAGGTTAATGGGGAGCGATCTTTAAAGCAGAACTTCCCCTTTTGGGTGGAGCTCCGCTTGAATAGCAAAAAGTGAAAAATTGGGTTTTTTTTTTTCAAAATCATCGATCTTTTTTTGTTTATAGCGCAAAAGATAAAAACCGCAGAGGCGATCAAATACCGCCGAAAGAAAGCTACATTTGTGGGCAGAGGACGTGAAGTTAATTTGGGTGCTGCGTTGCATGACTGCGCAATTGTAAAATAACACAGCGCCGTATCGCAAAAAATGGCCTGGTCAGGAAGGGGGGGGGGGTAAATCCTGTGGAGGGCAAGCGGTTAAATTAGTCTCAGAACTCGTGTAAATTATCGTTTGGGGATTAAAGGGATGAGGCAGCAACTCTAATATAAGTGCTGGTCATATGAAACTTTTTTGCAGTGCCACCAATAATGGCAGCATGCGCCCTCCGTGGTATTGGTGCCTTAGGCTGCCTATCCCCTGTATATTGTATGACCAGGTGCGGACTGACCATTTGGAAATTCGGGCACTGCCTGAGGGCCCAGGGTCAGTAGGGGGCCCCATGAGATGCCCCTGGTACCTTTTTCATAGGCTTTTTTGAGTTTGGGCAAGGAAACAGGGGCCCCATGATCCCCTATTGCCCGGGGGCCCAATGATCCCCTCTATTGCCCGGGGGCCCATGATCCGCTATTGCCCGGGGGCCCCATCAGTTGTCAGTCCGCCCCTGTGTATGACTGTACATCACACATGAGACACGCTGCAATACGCATGATCTCTGACAATCCCGCATGTAAGTCAGTAATGAATTCATTGATGACGGAGCCTGCTGTGAGAAGGAAGCGGTGAGACATGAGCACTGAGCGATCCTCCGTGGATCTCCTCGTTCCTGGAATCTCCGACACTGGCCGTGACACATGAACCACACAACAACACGTGACCGCACTGCTCAGCCAGCCCGGAGCGGCGCCCTGCGAATGGTCCACGGCGCGTGACGTCACAAAGCCAGGCTGAAAGATGAGGTGGGCGGGGTTGCAGAATGATGGCGGAGGACGTGATTGGAGGGGAGGAGCCCGGAGCGGAGCAGGAAAGGGGTGGGGCTTGAGAGCGGCGACCACCGGGCGGGAGAGACACCCAGTTTTGAGGTGACCCGGGCGGGTGACAGGGAGAGTGAAAAGGTGACCCGGCTGGTGGTGAGAAGATGCCGCGGGTGGTGCCCGACCAGAGGAGCAAGTTTGAGAATGAGGAATTCTTCCGGAAACTGAGCCGGGAGTGTGAGGTAAGAGGATGCTGGGGGGACCCGGGGGTCCTGTATAGTGAGGGGAAGGTCCTGTGTGGGTGATGGGTATTGGGGGGCCCAGTGTACCGGGGGGGTATTCAGGAGCCCATACCCACACCTGGGAACTTTTTATTAATTCTGCGATGGGGGTGGGGCTAACAGTGACGCAATAATGCTTCTATTTCATCACAGCGACCGATGTTAGCTCCACCCCAAATTGCAGAATCGCAAACCGTGAAAAGCCCCCAGGTGTGGACATGGGCCCCGCTGCTCCGTTGTTTCTGCGCACATTTAGGGCCCCTTCACACCATATGTGTTGTCCAATGTATGGAGAAGGCGATTCGCCATCTGTCCTGGGAGCCCAGCTCACATCGACGCAGCCCAAGGTGACGCATTGCGCTTCATCGCAACATGCCATCCTGCAAGGAAATGAAGGAGATGTCGCTATGTCACATGTTGATAAAGTTTAAAGGAAAAATGTAAACAGTGAGATGCTTTGCAACAGCGCCCTACCCAGCTCACACCAGAGGGGGGAGCGTCACTGAGAGTATCAGGTGTGTATGGGCCCATAGTGTGCTCACTCTTCAGAGGGCATTGTGACAGGTGGTGAGGGGTTGTTGTATCACCTACTTACCGCCTGCATTAAATTGTTACTAAACCCACAGCAGTAAAATCAGTCTGTGTATGCAGTAAAGCATGCTTGTTATACTCACTGTGGACCCTAAGGGGTTAATCCTCTGCATTGTAAAAGTCTGTTTGATCCTGTCTTCTCTGATCCTCCCCTTCTTCCAGTGTCCCCAATCCATCTGCTGTAGGAGCTCTAGAGGGTCACTCTGCACATGCTCAGTTTAGTGTGTATGGCTAGAGAGTTTGTTTTTTTTTGTATTTGTGAAGGTGCATGTGATCAGCACAGGGCCAATCAGCATTATCCAGACAGAGGGTCAGGGGTTATGGAGCCTCATAGGACAGTCAGAGGAGAATGAAAACTCCTCCTATAAAATTAACCAGTGCTCTGTTGGACAATGATAGAAGTCACAAGCGGTCAGGGGTCCTGCATCCTCCTAGAGCAGAAAGAAAACTCCTCCTACAAGCTTTAACCAGTGGTCTGCTGAAGTCACAAGACTGCTCTAACTGCTGATGAGAAAAGGTATTTTAGCAGTTTATATTTACTAGAATAATTGTATTTCCATGTTCTGAGTACTGTGGGAGACCAGATATAGTGAATGCAGGGTCCTGGGAGACCAGATATAGTGGATGCAGGGTCCTGGGAGACCAGATATAGTGGATGCAGGGTCCTGGGAGACCAGATATAGTGAATGCAGGGTCCTGGGAGACCAGATATAGTGAATGCAGGGTCCTGGGAGACCAGATATAGTGAATGCAGGGTCCTGGGAGACCAGATATAGTGAATGCAGGATGCGGGGAGACCGGATATAGTGAATGCAGGGTCCAAGGAGACCAGATATAGTGAATGCAGGGTCCAAGGAGACCAGATATAGTGAATGCAGGGTCCTGGGAGACCAGATATAGTGAATGCAGGGTCCGGGGAGACCAGATATAGTGAATGCAGGGTCCGGGGAGACCAGATATAGTGAATGCAGGGTCCGGGGAGACCAGATATAGTGAATGCAGGGTCCGGGGAGACCAGATATAGTGAATGCAGGGTCCTGGGAGACCAGATATAGTGAATGCAGGGTCCGGGGAGACCGGATATAGTGAATGCAGGGTCCTGGGAGACCAGATATAGTGAATGCAGGGTCTGGGGAGACCGGATATAGTGAATGCAGGGTCTGGGGTTTAGTAACACTTTAACCCCTTGAATTCTGCCCTTGCGTAGCTCATTACACGCGGTTGTAGGGTACCTGCACGATGGCTTCATTCATTTAAATAGGTGGCATTCATCAGGCTCTTCGCCTGCTGAATGTGACGGGTATAGGTCGTTTCTTGCTTTGCTTCGCAGCATGTGTACACCCCCGGCCGCTGCCTAAGCGAAGCAGCAGGTAAGGGATGGTAAAAGCACAGTTCATCCTCACTTATGAACGAGCCCTTACAGTGATTGATGAAATATTCCGTGGCATCTGTGATGTCCATGTCAGGGGATTGGGGGGTCTAGATGTGAGGGGTTGAGTAGTGAATTATTGTGGCCCGGCATTCATAAACTACACAACTGATAAGGCACTTCTCCGTAGTTTGGCAGCTTTCATCTATAGTGAAGGGAGGAAGCACAGTGGCTAAATTGTTAGCACTTCCGCCTGGCAGTACTAGGGTAGTCTGTTTGGATCCCAATCACGGCACCACCTGCCTGGAGTTTGCATGTTCTCCCTGTGCCTGTGTGGGTTTCCTCCGGGTTCTCTGGTTTCCTCCCACACTCCAAAGACATGCTGGTAGGTTAATTGGATCCTGTCTAATTTGGTCCTAGTATGTGTATGTATGAATGTGAGTTAGGGACCTTAGATTGTTTACACCCTTCGAGGGTTAGGGACTGATGTGAATGTACAATATACAGTCGGGATCGAAAGTTTGGGCACCCCAGCTAAAAATTTGTATTATTGTGCATAAAAATGCCAAGGAAAGATGGAAAAATCTCCAAAAGGCATCAAATTACAGATTAGACATTCTTATAATATGTCAACAAAAGTTAGATTTTATTTCCATCATTTACACTTTCAAAATAACAGAAAACAAAAAAATGGCGTCTGCAAAAGTTTGGGCACCCTGCAGAATTTATAGCATGCACTGCCCCCTTTGCAAAGCTGAGACCTGCCAGTGTCATGGATTGTTCTCAATCATTGTCTGGGAAGACCAGGTGATGTCAATCTCAAAGGTTTTAAATGCCCAGACTCATCTGACCTTGCCCCAACAATCAGCACCATGGGTTCTTCTAAGCAGTTGTCTAGAAAACTGAAACTGAAAATAGTTGATGCTCACAAAGCTGGAGAAGGCTATAAGAAGATAGCAAAGCGTTTTCAGATGTCAATTTCCTCTGTTTGGAATGTAATTAAGAAATGGCAGTCATCAGGAACAGTGGAAGTTAAAGCAAGATCTGGAAGACCAAGAAAAATATCAGACAGAACAGCTCGCAGGATTGTGAGAAAAAATTCAAAACCCACGTTTGACTGCACGATCCCTCCAGAAAGATCTGGCAGACACTGGAGTTGTGGTACACTATTCCATTATAAAGAGATACTTGTACAAATATGGTCTTCATGGAAGAGTCATCAGAAGAAAACCTCTTCTACGTCCTCACCACAAAAATCATCGTTTGAACTTTGCAAATGAACATATAGACAAGCCTGATGCATTTTGGAAACAAGTTCTGTGGACCGATGAGGTTAAAATTGAACCTTTTGGCCGGAATGAGCAAAGGTACGTTTGGAGAAGAAGGGGCACAGAATTTAATGAAAAGAACCTCTGTCCAACTGTTAAGCATGGGGTTGGATCAATCATGCTTTGGGGTTGTGTTGAGATTGACATAACCTGGTCTTCCCAGATGATGATTGAGAACAATCCATGACACTGGCAGGTCTCAGCTTTGCAAAGGGGGCAGTGCATGCTATAAATTCTGCAGGGTGCCCAAACTTTTGCAGAAGCCATTTTTTTTGTTTTCTGTTATTTTGAAAGTGTAAATGATGGAAATAAAATCTAACTTTTGTTGACATATTATAAGAATGTCTAATCTGTAATTTGATGCCTTTTGGAGATTTTTCCATCTTTCCTTGGCTTCTTTATGCACATTAATACAAATTTTTAGCTGGGGTGCCCAAACTTTCGATCCCCACTGTATATATGTAAAGCGCTGCATAATATGACGGCACTATATAAAAATAAATAAATGATAAAACCAGTTTTACCTACTAAAAAAAAGAATTGCCGCATTTTCCAGTGCCCAGGGGTGACTTTAAAGTGGAGCTCCACCCAAAAGGGGAAGAAGAATTGGTCCCCAGCTCCCTGTTAAGGATTGGCACTTTGGGGAGCAGGGGGAGGAGCTGGTACCCACTTCCACTGCAATCACCTAGGCGATCAGAAGCCGAAATTGTCGTCCCCCCTCCCTCTCTGTAGTCTTCTGGGACATGTGACAGGTCCCAGAAGACTACGGGACCATTCACAAAGCGCAGCGCCCCTCGCATGCACAGTGAGCACCTGCAAGCTGTCACAGTCGGGTGCCCACACTGAAGATGCCAGGAACACAGAGTGGCTGGTGAAACTGGCTGCGGGGGGGGACACTGGGATGGAGGGACAGGTAAGTGGCTGTTTTTTAAAAGTTTTTGTAGCTGCTGACTTATTTTTTTTTTTAAATTTTCACTGGAACCCTGCTTTAAGAATGAATAGCATTCCCGTACGTCTCCATTAGAGCAATGCATTCTGACAGTGGGTGCCTGTTGGTGTGGGAACGCCTGCCATTTACACACATTCCTGCGCCCGCAATCATGGGAACCTAGCCTTAGATGCACACACACCTTTGTAAAGGATCATACAAGTTGTTACATTTGTGAATGATGTTTGATACAAGCACAGTTGTATCAGCTTGTATACTTGTTACATAGTTTGTTCTCTTCATACACGCCAGGGGTTGGCAAACTTCAGCTCTACTGCTGTTGTGGAACTTCAGGTCCCACGGGACACTTCAAGCATGATGGAACTTGTAGTTCCGCAACAGCTGGAGAGCCCAAATGTGCCTTTCCCTGCAGTAAGATATTTTGTTGGTGTTGATTTTGAGCAAGATTAGAAGTGTAAGGGCTCGTTCACACTTGGCTGTTTTACCAACGCTTGCCAAACGCCCCTATAGCGTTTGGCAAGCGTTGGTCCAGAGTTTGCGGAACATTTTTTAATGCTCGGCAAACGCCGCATGTGCGGTTTAGCGGAGGTTGCTAGGCGTTTGCCGAGCGTTAACGCCCCACAAATGCCTATAATGCAGTTTGACTGGTGTTACCGCTCCGCAAACGCCCCGCAACTGCGTCGCAACCGCACCGCAAACGCCGGCTGGGCGTTTGCGGAGTGGCACCATAGACTAGAATAGGAGGCTTCAACGCCTCCTGACTCGAACCAGAGGCATCCGTTTTGCCGCGACGCAAACGCTCCCGTTAGAACAGCACCATGTGCTGTAATGTGCAGAATTGGCAGAGGCGTTTGGGAAGCGGTAAAAACGCTTCCCAAATGCCTCTCTGCCGCCTGCACACAACGCTAGTGTGAACGTAGCCTAAAAGGGTTGAGGAGGCTGTATGTAGAGCGGATAATCTTTTTGGGAGACTGCAAGTGGGGGAATGGTTAGGCCAAGGCATGTCATTTGGGGAGACTGCACTTTGAGGAGATGATCATGTTTTATGGTGAGCAGAGAGTGGGATGTCGTCTTAGGAAGGAGGGGATCATGTTTGAGGAGGATTGTGTTTTGGGTAGACAGCCAATGAAGAGAGACATTTATGTCTTTGGAGAGACTGCAAAGAAGGGGGGAATGGCTCTTCTGGAGAGACTGTTAGGAGCAATCTGTATTACAAAGTATGTTATTACTGTTTTCACCGTGTCATTATATTTTGCATCATTTTAGATCAAATACACAGGATTTCGAGACCGACCGCACGAGGAACGGCAGGCACGTTTTCAGAATGCCTGCAGGGATGGCCGTTCTGAAATAGTAAGTATTTAAAGTGTTACTAAACCTACAATAGTAAAATCAGTTGGTATATGCAGTGAAGCATGCTTGTTATACTCACTGTGGAGCCTAAGGGGTTGATCCCGTCTTCTATGAGCCTCCTCTTTTTCTACTGTCTCCAATCCATCTGCTGATAGTACAGAGCTCTATTTATTATTTATTACAGGTACTTATATAGCGCCGTCAATTTACGCTGCGCTTTACACATATATTGTGCATCCACATCAGTCCCTAACCTTCAAGGAGCATACAATCTAAAGTCCCTAACCTACATTCATACATATCCATACGAGGGCCAATTTAGACAGGATCCGATTAACCTACAGCATGTCTTTGGAGTGTGGGAGGAATCCGGAGTACCTGGAGGAAACCCAGGCAGGCACAGGGAGAACATGCAAACTTTGGACAGCACAGTGGCTTCCACCTGGCAGTACTAGGGTCTTTGGTTCGAATCCCAACCATGGCGCCACCTGCCTGGAGTACTCCAGTTTCCTCCTACACTCCAAAGACCTGCTGTAGGTTAATTGGATACTGTCTAAATTGGTCCTGGTATGGATATGTATGAATGTAGGTTAGGGACCTTAGATTGTACGCTCCTTGAGGGTTAGGGACTAATGTGGGTGCACAATATATGTATAAAGAGCTGCGTAAATTGACAGTGCTATATAAGTAACTGTAACAAATAATAGGAGTCACTTTGCACATGCTCAGCTTAGTGTGTATGGCTAGAGACTTTTTTTTTTTTTCCTTTGGGAGGGTGCATGTGATCAGCACAGGGCCAATCTGCACTGTCCATACAGAGGATCAGGGGTCATAGGACAGTCAAAGCAGAATGAAAACTCCTCCTACAAGCTTTAGCCAGTGCTCTGCTGGACAATGATAGAAGTCACAAGACTGCTGATGAGAAAAAGTATTTAGCAATTTATATTTACTAAGATAATTGCATTTCTGTGTACTGTGGGAGACCAGATATAGTGATGCAGGGTCCTGGGTTTAGCAACACTTTAAAGAAAAACTTTATTTGTATATCCATACAGAGGCTAAAATGTTATTCATTCATTACTCTGTATAAGGAAAGGAGTTATAACCATCCTGATTGTACACTAGAGCTGGGCTTGTCTTTGAAGAAGGCAATCACTTTGTATTATGCAGAAAATTGACCTGATGTCTATTGATTTTCTATTATAGGCATTTGTGGCCACGGGAACCAATCTTTCTCTGCAGTTTTTTCCAGCCAGTTGGCAAGGAGAGCCACGCCAAGCACCCACACGAGATTATGTGGACTTTGAGAGGGAGTCTGGCAAGGTAAACTGCGGTCCCATTCGTTCGTTCGCTCAGTTCTGATATCACATTTATTTAGATGCTGTCCTGCTAAATGTCCTGCTAGCCTTGTATCCTGGGAACTTCCCTCTGTAAAGTTTCTGCACCAGAATTCCCAGCACAGCCCACTTCTTATAGACACCACAACTTACAACATGCATAAAGATATCTGTGCTGCAGTGGACTGATCAAAAATTGCAGACAAATTGGGGTGTACAGCAGCGGAAATGAGGGACAGGACTTGTTAAAACTTTGGCGAAGTACACACCTAGTGACCACAACTGGTTAATGCAGTCTGGCAAATGCAACTGCTATGCCTTGAGAAAGGGGTCCTGTGTACCCTTAAGGCTACATTCACAGTAGCCTTGTTAGCAGGCGGCAGACAGGCGTTTGGGAAGCGTTTTTACCATTTCCCAAACGCCTGGGAAAATTCTGCACATTGCACCACATGGTGCTGTTCAAACGGGAGCATTAGCATTGTGGCAAAACGGACGCCTCTGGTTGAGTCAGGAGGAGTTGAAGCCTCCTATTCAAGTCTATGGTGCTGCTCTGCAAACGCCCGGCCGGCGTTTGCGACAAGGTTGCGGAGCGTTTGCAGAGCGTTAACACCATTCAAACTTCATTATAGGCGTTTGTGGGGCGTTTTTTAACGCTTGGCAAACGCCTAGCAACCGCTGCTAAACCGCTCATGCGGCGTTTGTGGAGCGTTAAAAACGCTCCGCAAACGCCGGACCAACGCTTGTCAAACGTTATAGGGGCATTTGGCAAGAGTTGGAAAAACAGTCGTGTGAACGAGCCCCAAACCATCATGCCGATTTATTTTTCTTTTTGATGGAATAAAAAAAAAACTGTTACTTATTTTGGAACTCTGGCCTTTCCTTGTATTGAACCTCTGCAGAGAGACCACTGCTTCTCCTCAGAAATCAAGGGTCCATCTCTGCAGCATGTTGGACAGAATTTTTTATCCAGGATATTGCTGATTTTAAAGAAAAATTGTAAAACGTTGCGTACCTTTTTTGTTTTGATGTACCTAGAATGTATTTAGCTGATATAAACTGAAAATTCCATTGGGCTTTATGTCTGCAATGAAAAGTTTTTTCATAGGTGTTTGTTTCAAGACCAGTTTGTGAAAAATGTCTCTCTTGGTCAGGCTCAGCGTATAATCGTGTCTACAATTTGTCTATATTGAACATTTCATAAACCTAGTGAAATCCTAATTACGACATGCAATGGGGTGATGTACAAAAACTTGAGAGTGCAGATTCTGGTGCAGCTCTGCATAGAAACCAGTCGGCTTCCAGGTTCTTTAGTCAAAGCTTACTTGAACAAGCTGATTGGCTACCATGCACAGCTGCACCAGATTTTGTACTCTCCAGTTTTAGTAACTCAACCCCAATGTATTCCTTTAACCCCTTTTTAGTTTAAGAATACTTAGCAATGAAACTGTCTGTTTGTTTTTTAGAATAAACTAGTTGATAGAGAAAGATTTACCATTAATTTCACCGAGCCGTGTTGAATATTTCACTTTTCATAGATCACAGCATAGTTGTATAATAAGGCAAGCCGTGAGTATAATACCAGCAGCACAAAAGATACTCAGGAGCTTAGTAAAAAGCATTGTGAATGCAAATAAAATAGGGTACCCTGAGATGATTTACTTTTGGGCTAGCTATATTGTCAGGAGAGACAGTTGGTTGAATCAGGATGATGTCACACTAATGAATCCCCAGGGTGCAGCTGAAAATTTCTGTAATGGGCATTGCAATTCTTGTTGGCCAGAACGCTGACTCAAGAATACAGTGAACATACCCCCATCTTGTTCGTTGTGCCGTTATTTTGAAATGCAGTGAGCTTATTACTGTCAGTACATGGTAAAGGTACTAAAAACAACAGTGAGTATTCTACTGCCCCCATATAGGAGTGTCAGGAACAACGTGATCCTGTATGTTAGGCTGGCCATACAGTATACACTTTTCTTATACGATTTTCCTTTTAGATTTACCAAAACCATATAATATGAGGTCAGACCTAAACACTTTCAATTTGTATGCAATCAGGCAGGCCCTTGCACTACATAGTTTAAGGTAAATCTGAAGGAAATTTGACTAAGAAAATTGTATAATGTATGGCCAGCCTTGGTTCACGATTTGAGCCTTGAATCAGCAGCATCCTCATCAGATTATCCTTCAAAGGATTCATGTTGTGTAATTTCCTTCCACTTGACTGGACACTACTGGCTGCTTTATCCTTAGCGGGGTGGCCAGTCCCTCATGGTCAGTGTGTCGTTTTGGTTGGTGAATCTGCTGACATCGTCACTTTGGTATGTAAGGGTACAGTGGGCGGTGCTATGATGATAATAGTAATAATAGTGTAGAAACAAACATCCTAATGCATGATGGGATGTGTAGTTCATTGGAAGCTGTGGAGAGATAGGGGGGGATGTTGTACAACGCCACTCTGTTCCTTCCATCATAGCCCGGGGGAGATTGGTAAGAAAAGCAGCTAGTGATGATAGTGATGACCTTACAGGCACTTCTATATTTGTTTTTTGTCTCCATTTGCATTTTTAGCGCAAAATCTGATCACTGGTAGAATGAAAGGAGCACTAATTAAAGTGAAACTACTCTGTATCTGAGCACCACAAACCAAAAACGCTATTTAATTTATTTTTAATATTGAAAGAAAATTCACCCATCCATCCATGCCTCCATACTTTATTTTGCTGATAAATCACTTTGAAAAATGCCCCCCCTAGCATTTCTGGCCGTGGCCATCTTGAGTAAGGGCAGATTCATGTAACATTTACTTCCTGGAATACATTTGCCTTTAGCACAGGCGTGCAGACAGGAGGGTGTGCTTAGCTGAGAAAACCCCTCCTTCCCTCCTGAAAACTACTGGGAGGTAGGACACTATTTTGGGCTGGAAACCAAGACGTAACGGAAGAAATGTAAACAAAATGTTTAAAACAAGTAAATATAATATACCTTCCTATCTATTTACTAATGCTAGAAGCATAGGGATTAAAAATATGTGGAAAGAAAGAGTAAATTTCCACTTTAAGGTTGGATGGTTTGTTGATTGTATCTTGGAGATCAGTTTTTTTATTTTATGTTGTAAATATTTTTATTAAAACATAGAAATTTGGGTTCAGAAAAATAAAAAGGAGGAGGGGATTAAACCGTAAGAAAAAAATTAAAAAAAACAAACTGTCATTAGTCTGTTACAATGCAACGGCTCTTATACTTAGACATGAACAGTATTAACTAGAAAAGTTACAATTTCCGGGGAAATTGTGTGAAATGTTCTTGCCTCCACCAGTAGTCTACAACTCACACTGTAGCTTTTGTCATTCTGCTGCTTGATCACACACCTGGGTTCCTATGGCAACTCACTCTACTGCAAGGGCAGAGATGAGCGGTTAAAAACAAACTGCTCCAACTTGCTCACTTCACTGGAGGTTGCCATTTTCAAACGGTTGTAGTTTAAAAATTATAAATGCTACACTGAAGAGCTTTATATTGTGAGAATCACAAGACCCAGACCTACAGTTTGATGCATAGTATGTCTCTGAAATATTACAAATGAAGGCACAGTCGCAGTTTAGATATTGCCCTTCAAATTTGAGGTGGCTAGAGTGGAGTTTCAATGAATGTCAATGGGTGGCGTGAGTTGCAAACAAATGGTCATATTGTGAAAACTATCAGGACTATGGCTTAGCTGTGGACATTTTTGGTGGCAGCAGGGATAGCTGAACGTTTTGATATAAGACTTGTGTAGTTGGGCTTGAAAATGAGGGAGTGATGGCAGTTTAGAAATCGTGTCCTGATTTTTCAGCTCACACTCTCGCTTTTGTCATCTCCCACTCTAGTTTTGAACATTCTGCCATTCAGTTCTATGGGACCAATTTCACCACAAAAACGCCGATATTTCGTGAACCATTTGGCGAAACGTTCCACAAAGTAATAGCACACCCAATCGGGAACAATCCGCACGTTTCGGTATTTTACTGTCTATGTAGTGTAAAAACTGTGGGAGGAGTTAGGGTGGTAAATTTGGCTTTAATAATAAGAATATATATGTGAGGTAACAGTAAGTGGTCTGCCATGCAAGAACACCTAATAATACGGATTCAAGAGGACTGAAGCAGTGAATAACTTCCAGCTATTAGTCAAGATAAGTAAATCCCCTGTATCACAAGTAAAGGCAAATAATACAATCATGTAATTCAAATGAGAAAATACTTGAAGCAGGGAGAGGAGAAGGAATGAAAGAGAGAAGAGAGCGAAAAAGAAAAAAAAAGGGGGGGGATAAGGGGGGACAATATTGGGCATAAGGACTCCTAACCCTTTGAGGACCAAGGGTCGTATTTGTCCCATGTTTGTAATTGCGTGTATCATCTGATTAAGAACTTAAAACTCTTTTTTTTGGTTTGAGTCAAAATATTAGTTCTTATCAACAAACAAATGGATCTACCTTTTTGCCAATTATTTCATGAGATGGCTTAGTAGTTACAGCAACTGAAGTGTACAACTTTAAAAACAAAAAAATCGATTCTTTTGGCGTTCTAAAACCTTACGGTCCTCAAAGGGCTAAGTGGGAAGAGGAGGGGAAAAAATACCAACAGTTGCTAAATTTCCTTATGAGGGGGGACTCCAAATTAGACAAAAGTGAAGAAGGGGTAGACTGGGGAGTAAGCTGTTAAAGAGATGAAATCAACTGGGACCTTGTAGGTGAGGGAGTCAGTTGTGGAGCTTATCCGAAGATAACCATATATACCATCATTTCTTGTGGTTTTCCCAATTTTCTGATTCCTTAGCCTGCATTTCCTCCATCAGCATGATATCTGGAGATCAGATATATATTTATATTTATTTTTGCCAAGTTTACTGGGACTACACTGTATTGTAGTAGCTTTTCCTGGAGTACAAATACATAGGAGCACAAATTGTATCTGTTCTGTACACAGGTTAATCATCTACTTCCCT